GGAGGGAGGGGGAGATCCTGCCTTTCCCATCAGAGCCACAATGCTGGTGCCTGAGCAATGCCGTGGTGGCATCTCCCAGGGTGATGTGAGAGCAGGGTGAGAGTGGGAGCTGGGGTCTCAGCCAGGGCAGGGCTGGGTTTCAGGGCAGAAATATGTCCTGGTGGGGATGGGGATGGAGAGCACTGGGTGAGGATTCGCTCACTCATGGTCCAGGTGGCTGGTGCATCAGGACAAGGCAAGGTACAAGCCGAACCTCCTGCTCCCTAACCCCCAGCATGACGCTGGGCTCTTCCAGCCCCCGGCAGGGGTCACGCCACCCAGCCTGAGCCCCACTCTCTCCTTCCTCGCAGGCTTTCGGGAGAGCGCCTTTGCCTACGCCATTGCGGCTGCCGGCGTGGTGCACGCCGTCTCCAACGCCTGTGCCCTCGGCAAGCTGCAGGCCTGCGGCTGTGACCAGAAGCGCCGGGGCGATGAGGAGGCTTTTCGGCGCAAGCTGCATCGTCTCCAGCTGGAGGCCATGAACCGCGGCAAAGGGATGGTGCACGGGGTGCACATGGAGCACATGCCGGCCGAGACCCCCGGCCTCCAGGACTCCTGGGAATGGGGGGGGTGCAGCCCCGATGTGGACTATGGGGAGAAGTTTTCCAAGGATTTCCTTGATTCCCGGGAAACCTACAGGGACATCCACTCTCGCATGAGGCTGCACAACAACCGTGTGGGCCGGCAGGTGAGTGGGGTACGGGGTGGTGGTGGCCGGGACAGGGTCCCCAGGACAGGACACTCACGGGAGGGCCACAAAGGGCTTGTGCTGGCTGTGGTGGGATATGTGTGCGAGGCTGGGATTGTCCCCAAGACACACACCCCCCCACCCCTCCAGTTTTGCCCACAGCAGCAGTGGTGCAGCCCTGCTGCCGAGCGTCTCTGCTGGTGAGGGCACCTTTGAGCATCGCTGCTGTCCTCCTGCCAAGGGACACTTCCCCAGGCCACTGTCACCTGCCTGTGCTGCAGCAGTGCTACAGGAGTGGCATGGCAGTGAGTCCAGCTCTGGCCTCTCGGGGACTGGGTGGACTGGTGTTGGGCAGCTATGGACATGGAGGAGGAAGTCACTGGCATCATGGGTACACAGCGCAGTCTCTGCAGCACCCAGCCATGGCTCTGCCTCTGGAGAGGGAGCTGGTGCCCCAAGAAGGCAGATGTGAGCAGGACTGAGCCAGGCAATGGGTACCTGTGCCAGGTGGGAAGTACAGCATCCCCTCGGGAGTGGAGGTGACAGCCCACAATGAGCAGGGCAGCCTCCCCTCCATTCTCATGATGTCAGGTCTCGTTAAAGGTGCTAATTAGTAGCTCGCTCTGTCTGGAAACTGGTATTTAAAAGCAGCCTGACATTGGAGACGAGAAGCAGGCAGGCAGGAGGGGC